ATAAAGAATGTTCCTGAATATGTCCCCTTCTATTTTATATTCAAATGAACAATGCTATGTCTTCAACCTCGTACGATTCTCCTCCCTTCTCATACAATTCTCTTCATTTCTCCCCCACCTTCTTTATGTGTTGGAAAATCACTTACGTGATACATTTTGCTAATTTTAGAGGTTGTTGAATCAATAGAGGGTGATTTGTCACATGAGCCTAAAATTAGCATTGTATGTTATGTCAGTAAATGCAAACAATCATCAATATGGCATATATTGTTGTATAAAATGCACATTTCTAGTGAGTAGCTTCAATGACTATAAATTAATATGTTAATACTTTTTGGTGATATTTTATCAAGCATAATATCTCCAACAAGGGAATTATTGATATAATCTATATGCTACACCATTTTTAACAACATATTTAAGACTTTCACCAACATACTCCCGTATTGATGAAGCCCTTCATTTTACCAGTGCACATAAAGAAAAACACTACTACCATCATTTATTATTCAAATTTATTTTATTTTATTTTCTCAAATTTGAATAAAAATTAAAAACAAAAATGCAAAACAGCATCTCCCGAATTATGGGTAACTCTCAAGTTCCATAACAAAAACCTCAATTCAGTAAATTTCACTGCCATGTTAGAAGAAAAGACATCAGTCATAATATATTTGTGGTTCACCATAATTGGAACAAAGTATTATTCACTTTTTGCTGATGAAGTCGCAGAATGCATCCAAAGAAGCCACGGAACTCGCGGGAAAGCCATGGTGGAATTTGCAGCTAAGCGTCGCAGCTCCTTTTTTCATCTCTTCATCTCCCATCAGCATCTCTATCCCATTAATTATATCATCCTTCTTCACCGATTGCGACATATCGTCGGAGATCATGTACCCCACCCTAAGACGCTGCACTACTAGTTTGGCATTCCAGTATTGGTCGCCTCTAAGAGGCCACGCCAGGAACGGAATTCCACGTCCGATCGCCTCAACCGTCGAATTCCATCCACAGTGGGATAGGAATCCGCCCGTCGATGGATGGCTGAGTATCAGCAATTGCGGTGCCCATCCCTTGATTATGAGACCCCTTTTACCCACCTTTTGATCAAGGCCGTGAGGGAAGTAGCCATCGTCGGGCTGGTTTCCGAGGAAGTGACGCGGAGGACCCTCCCTTCCAGAGCCGGGTTGGATCACCCAAATGAACGGCCGCTCCGATGATTCCAGAGCATCGGCCAGTTGTGAGTATTCCTGCATGGTGGGGCCCCCCTCGCTGCCGAACGAAACGTACAGCACCGATACCTGCGGCTTCGAGTCCAGCCACTCGACCACCTCGTCTTCGGTTACGCTCGATTGCCGGTTGCTTCGAATTTCGCGGTCGTGAAGCAAGGATTTTGCCGATTTCCAGAACTGTTCCGGCAACAGTGGGCCGACTCCCCAAACTGGTTTTCCGATTCGGTTGACTAAGTACTCAATGAACGGACGCTCGAGATCGTCACACGTGTTGATCAGCAACGCGATTGAGTCCTTGACCTCCTCCATCCACGGTGGCTGGTCACCGGGTTTTGGTGGGCCCCACATACGTGGACCGGCAGCACCAGGCGGACCAGCAGGAAAACCAGACCCGGGAGCACCCGGTGGACCAGGAGGAAAACCAGGAGGAAAACCAGGCTCAGGTCCACCTGGTCCACCTCTCCCACCAGGAGGCCCGTGAGGGCGGCGTTTAAGATCCGACACCGTGAGACCCATTTCGTCCGGCAACCCAGGAAGCAAACGGGTTTCTTCCGGCTTTACATCCAGCGGATGCGCCTTCCACATGGCATGCTCCAAAGCTGAAGAACATGCGCCAGACGTGAAAAACCCAATTGTCGAAATCCCAAATTTATTGAAGATCTCCCCCATCCACCCAATCATAACGTCGATCACTACACAGACCGGCAGGCTACCATTCTCGGATCTGTCTGAGAGGAGCTTTTCAATTCCTTGAGCTATCTCCGCATGCTGCTTCCGGTGATGGTGAAGGGGGTCGTTAGAGCCAGGCTCTGGAGGAGCAGGCGGTGCCGACGGTAGTTCAGAGACCTCACAGAGAGAGTGTTGCCGGAAAGAGGAGGGTATAGAGGAAGAGAGATTGGAGGAAATGATGAAATTTGCTTTGCAATTGCGGGAGGTAAATTGCTTGCAGAGTTCCAAACAGGGGAAGAGATGACCCTGCCCAAAAAATGGAACAACCCATATCTCAATTTCAGAGGACATATCCGATTCTTGGTTTCTTGGCTCTGTTTTCGGCTTTTTTCTGGTTTCTTGGATTGATGATTCCATCATCAGATATATAGATATCGCTGCTTTTTAGTGTACTAAGAAGACTTAACCAGCAAGGAATAAATCTGAAAGGAAAGAAAAACTGATCCTTTAGTAGTTGGAGGACTGTAAGGTAGAGGTTTTACCATTAGGTAAGGGGTTAAGGCCATGTGTGAGAATCAGAACTTCGGGCAGAAGGAAATGGATAATCTAGAACCTTCATTGCAATGTTCCAGGATTTAATTTGATATTCATTCAAATCGAGGATGCACCTATCAAGTTGCTAATGTCAATAGTCCGTGAGGCCAGATGCTATTTTGATGCTTCTTTGGAAACTTTTTGTTTGAAAAAGATTGATGAGAAATGTGAATGGATGACCGTTGTTGATAGAGATTTTATTGCACTATTATTATTATTATTATTTTCTGAAAATAGGCAATGTATTGTACCATTATTATTTTTTATTGCCACCGGCCGTTTATATGTTGAGTTCCCATTGAAATAAAAATCTCAAAGGATCATGGGACGAAGTCGGTACAATTAAACATCTTAGGCATGGTTAATAGTCGGTCCCCATGTTCTCCAGGTCATGTTCCACTCTATCTATCTTTGAGTGGGAACATTGTGAAGAGGTTTGAAGTTTAACCCTAACTTTGTTTTCTCCACCTCTTAAGTATAAAATATAATAGTAGTAGACAATTACTTTTGTCTTTTTCTAAAAAAAATTGATCGGTCCCCATGTTCTAGGATTGGTACTTATGCTTGGTGGGTCTCAATACCAATGTAGTTTGCAAGGAAACAAAATTCAATTTGAGTTTTGATACATAGAAGATGTCTCTAGTACTATAATTGTAAGTCTCAACAGTTATATTCCAAGTTGCAAAACAATCCATCATTCATTACAATACAGAACCAGGATTTCACTCACATGTCTTGCTTTATTTTATAATGTGAATATTACAAACAGAAGCATCAGATTCAAATTATGCAGTTGTCACCGTGACTTGATCTAGATTTACATGACATTTAACTAACGGAAACAGTTGAAACTGCAGCTGGTTTTCGGGTAATAAACTCCTTAAAAGCATCCAATCCAGCATCTGCACTTGCCGGAAAACCATGGCTGAATTTTTCTCTCCATTGCGCCGCTCGATTCCCCATCTCTTCATCACCCATCACCTTTTCAATCCCCTTCTTTACATCTTCCTTCTTCACCATCTCCGACATATCTTCCGCCACTCTCCACCCTATTTTAAGCTGATTCACCACCATCTTGGCATTATGGTATTGGTCTCCTCTAATGGGCCACGCCAAGATCCGGACTCCACGTCCGATTGCCTCCGACGTCGAGTTCCACCCGCAGTGGGACAAAAACCCCCCCGTCGATTGGTGGCTCACAATCAACAACTGGGGAGCCCATCCATATATTATCAGGCCTCTGTAACCCACCTTGCTCTCTAACCCATCGGCGGTGTAACCCGACCCGGATTGTATGGCCCAAATAAACGGTCGGGTTGTCTCCGACAGTGCACCGGCTAGTTCGGAATATTCCTCAGTAGTTGGACCCACTTCACTCCCAAAAGCAATATATAGGACTGACCCACGTGGCTTGCGATCTAACCATTGAATCACATCATCTTCGGTTACGTTCGATTGGCGGTTGTCACCCCTTATCTGACGGTCACTGATCAGAGAACCGGAAGGTGGGTTCCAGTAATTTTCCGGCAAGAGTGGGCCGACTCCAAATGCAGGCACACCCATCTGATCGGCCATGTAGGAAAGAAATGGACGCTCGAGATCATCACACGTGCTGAACATCAGAGCTATTGATCCTTCGATTTCTTTAACCCAGAATGGGAGATCGCCTGGTTTCGGCGGGCCTCCTCGTCCTCTCCCCGTTGGTGGAGCGCCGCCAGGTGGTGGTCCGGCCGGACGTTTTCTTTTGAGGTCTGAATGCGTAAGACCCATCACTTCGGGTAACCCAGGAATCAAACGGGTCTCGCCGGGTTTTATGTCGGCGGCTTGGACCTTCCAGGCTCCCCACTCCATGGCGGCGGCACAGGCGCTGAAAGTGAAAAATCCGATAATCGGAATGTTAAATTTGGAGAAAATAGTCTTGGTCCAGCCCATTTGAAAATCAACTATGGCACATAAAGGCGGGGGTTGATTTTGGTTTCCATAGTGATTGGTTAGGTGGGTTTCTAGATCCTGGGCAGCTTGGACAGGGTCGGATCCCGGTACGAAGCGGTTGGAGGGGGCGATTGGAAGGACTTTCTGGGAGAAAGAGGATGGCATGGCGGAGGAGAGAGAAGAGGATATGACGAGGGTAGTCTGGAAATCTCGAGAGGATAGGTGGTTGCAGAGTTCCATGCAAGGATGGAGGTGGCCATGGCCGTAGCCGCTAAGAACAAAGATTTCACCCCCCATTTCAGGCTTCGATACTCTTCTAAATTTGATGGCCTTATAAAATGGAGTGCTTCGGAAGGAGAGCAGGAGTAAATCAGTGGTGGGGACTGGGGAGGAATTATTGAGTGGTAGGTATTAGAAGAAAGGTATATAAAAAAAATGGTTTCAGAATAATGCAACAGAAAAAAAGGAAGTGCGCTTTGCAGCCTGGACTAGATTGTACAGCGTCAATCGTTAGAGGGAAGATACGTGGATGTTTTTTTTTTTGTAATCTAGTACGATCTGAATTATTAAAAAAAAAATCCATAATGAAAAAGAAAAAAAAAGACTGTAAAGATAAATTGGCCGCACCCCAATTCCCAAAGACAGATATTGGAATCTAAGATTGGAGTTTTTCATGATCAAGTCTCTCCTTTCACACTTGGGTTGGGTTTACCAAAACTCAGACCACAACGGAAGTTCAATTCAATCATTGCTAACTGAAATTCAGAGTTTTTCTTCTTCCACCAGGAGGACAGAAGAAGCTGAAAACAATGAATCACTGTGCCCATGACAAATATGAAACAGGAAAATTACAATTGGGATTTGTAGAACATACCTTGTTCCATTGCGTGGGCTGGTGTTCTGAGCTTGTGGCCTTCCCCTGTTCCCAGCATTTTGCATCTCTTGTACTTACCAAGACGACAGCAGTCGCATCGCAGGTGCCAAACTGATAAAACAGATTTATCTGATGTGAAGCATATGGTAAAAGAAATGTCTGTGGAGTCACAAATGGAGGAAAAATTGTTAAAACGGCATTTGCTGCATGGTTCTTCATTTTGAGACACTCATTTGGTTTTAAACAAGTCTTGTGCAAAGAAATTCATAGAATGATACCATAACTAGGAAGCTTAGAACTATGATGGCAATGTCATGGAAGCTGTATGTAGTCATATATAACTGGAGATTAGAAAAGCAGGATACCTTTCTGTTTCAAGAAACCTGATGGAATTGTTGTTGAAAATAAGAGATTAAGAAGTTACACTGTTTATTTGGCCATCATCATATGAACATTAAGGATCCATAACATGGACAGGTTGCAAGTACAAGAGAGTAATTAAATCAAGTGAGTTACTTGGAAGACTGGTTATGTACAGAAATCTCAAGATGAAGGAAGTATATCCAGAGCAACCTCCTTAAGGGAGGGCATAACTTCCTGTTGATGCAAGCAGATCTGTTTATTCCTCACTTTCCTAAGAACTTTCCAAGGACCAGGGTAGCACCTAAAGGCAGAAAGAAACTTTTAACTTAGCAATGTATGTTGAAAATAACAAGAATACAGCAACAGAACTTTATTGAAGCTAGCCAACCTTCGGCCGTTGATAATTTAAAATTGTAAACATCAACAGCAACTTGATTTTCTTAACTAGGTTGACTGCCATGGTAAGAATTCAGCAAACAATAAGGTACCAAACCTGAAAAGTGTTCCTCCATTGCGTCCCTTGAAATTATGAATATAATAAACAGTCTCCATCTTAGGCAGAAGGGTCTTGGTAAGTGCTGCCAGTTTAGGGTAGAAGAATGGTGGATAATCTTAGTTCAATTAAGGATGTTTTGAGTGAATTAGAAAAGGCACTCATACTTTCAAAGTACTTCAAGGATCTCACCCTTCCCCACACTACAAGAAGATATATCCAAGAGATACAGAGAGCTCTTTATATAGGGCATGATTGAGAAAATAGGGTGCATTTAGATGATCCAAATGTTTAAGTAACTATATTTGGGTTCAAGAGTGTAAGAAGTAAGAACTATGATATATAAAAAAGGATACAACCAGACCTTATACGATCAAGTTCCCCATTGAAGACAATCAGATTCCGAGTAGTATTCACTACAGCTTCTTTGTAAAGCTCTTCCACCACAAGCATTTCTGAAAAATGGAAATAGAATATGTAGACTTCATTGAATACCAGTAAACATTAACAGAAGATAAGAGGTTTGAAGCTACCATTGACATTGAAATATGGATAGGCTACTAGGAAAATTTCATCCTCTGGCTTAACCCGATCTGCCATTTTCACCTTCTCACTAAAACCAAAATCCTCAAAAAATGAGGGCTTTGTAAGGTAGTCCAATTTGAAGGAAGCTCCTTCAAATGCAGATACTCTTGCAAATTTAACTTCGCTGGCCTCTGGGAAGAACTGGAAATTTTAATGTGAAGTCTCATAGTAATAAGTTAATATGAACAAGACAGAAATGTGGAAAATGAAAAGGATGAACAAGATGAAGTATTTATTGACTTATGATCAGAAATATCTGAAGAATATAGATCCAACACAAGCATCATACTACTCAACTATCATTCAAATCCACAGATTAAATTAATGTATATATCTATGTACCAAAAAAAAAAAAATATCAATGTACATATCTTACTATTCTGGTTCGTGTGGCTTTCTCAGGAATAATTAAGCGGTCACAAAATTCACGGATTAGCTGCATGCTTTCAGTCATTTCATTTCCTCCTTCATCATCACCTGATGTATGCTTCACAAGCAGTGAGAAAATTTAGAAGTCAAAAACTAAAAATGGACACAAAAATGACTGGTGAGAGGCAAATCAAGAAACCTGGCACAGATAAAAGTCCTGATGTTGGGAATTCAATCTCCTGTAAAAGATACCCTCAGGTTATAAACTAGGTTGACTCAAGGAAGTATGCACTTTAGTTCTTCAATAATTAATCCTTAGGCCTTAGCATCTCACCATCAACTGTCTGTTATCCTTCAATGCCAATTCTGTAGCCTGTTTTGCCTGTTTGTTAACATGTGCTAAAAGTGAGAAGCTTTTACAATTGCAGTACATTCTTCCAAATTACATGGAATGAATAAATCCTAATGAAGCAGGGGGAAGCAGTATATACCAGAAACACACATGCACAGAGAGACAGATGGTGAAGCTTACTTGTGTAAGAAGCTCAGAGTAGTCATTTGGAAATGACACATCAGATTCAACCGAGGTATTCCCGTCCTTGGAAACCGACTGAGTAAAAAACCTGAGATTCCTTGATCCCATAAACTTAGAAATTTGTCCAATGTTATAATTTTTACCATCCTTTATCCAAAAACTCTTTCTGCACAAAACCTACAATTTAGTAGAAACAAATTACGAAAGCTTCATTATTCTTTCAAGTCACATGATATAAAACATCATATTTTTTAAAGTTTCTTTCTATTATGATTGTTCTACAGGCTCTAGCATAGTATCCAATACCATAATCTCCTGAATTGTTGAATTTCAAGTAAAATCGAAACCAATGGAATTATTTCCTTAGATGCACGATAAGCACTTCTGACCATCAAGTGAAGAGCAATACAATAGTTTCTTCTTCTTTTTCTTTTTCTTTTTGATAAAGCATTCATATTCCTCCATAAAAAGAATAACCAGCAGCAAATATCAATTGCAAAAAATAAAACAAAACAAAATAAAGAACTCAAATAGCATGAAATAAATAAACCAAATACCAAAATCAATAAAGTCAATTTTAATCAGTAAAATAAAAAAAAATTGATATTCTTAATTTCAGAAAGCATGAAGATTAACCTAACGAATAATACAGAAACACCAAACACTTCCGTGGAAACTGTAATCTCTCAACAAATTGCACGGAAAAATTTGAAGATAATAACAATAGAGACATTTGTTAACCTAATTCGACGCTGAAAGCAGAAGCTCAAGAACTGTACAGGATAGAATTATAATTCAATTTCTCTATCGTATCCATATCGTAATTTTCCCTTCAAACCGCCGGAAAGTTTTCCGGGCAAGATCATACAAAAGAAGATAAATGCTGAAATATTCTGTTACCTTAGGATGCCGGACCGAAGGAATTGCCGGCGTGACCGGAGGGGAAATGGCGGGACTGGATAACGGCATTTTATTGGAACCACAAAGAAAGAAGAAGAGATGTGAAGAGGATTTTTTTAAGTGAGTTAATTTCTTTTATTATTATTATTATT